ACGAATAATGAATGGTGGACGACACAGTGGAACCGAATCGTGCGGTGTCGGATGAATCGGGACACCGCCTTTGATGGAGTCATGTCCAGAAGGGGGGGTATCCAAACGGCCAGACAAGCTCTGATGGAACATACGCAGCGTACTCCGTAGACAAACGAGCAATTTACAAGGAGGGCCCCAGGGGGTCGGCTCTCTTTCACACAATCCACTTCGTTCTGCAGCTCTGGCAGCCAACACCAAAGGCGTCGAGAAGTGCTGTAAAGATGAGCTGCGTGGAACCAATTTGGTCCGTGGAACTTAAAGCCAGGGTGGTGATGCTGGTTAACTAGCGGGGCGCCGAGACCGCCGCTTCAACGGACCTGCTCGATCTATAAAAACCCATCCCGCGCCCTCGCAACGACCACACACTCTCTCCTCCTCTTTTTTCTCTCCCTCTTTCTTTCTCTTCGCGCGCCTGGATGCACTGCCCCTTCCCCATGCAGGGAGACGGTGCCGTCTTACCCAGCCCTCGCCCCCTTTTCTTCCTGCGCCCGCGGAGTCACCGCGGATGTCTTCTGGCCACCTCGCGGGCTGCCACTTCATTGGTTTCTGAGCCATCCACGCCGCCCCTCGTGGTGTTACTTCACTTGATCTGGAGCCTAGGCTGCTGGAACATCTGCAGCCATGTTGCAATGGCCTTCGCCGTGTTGTACGATCGGCGACTGTGAACCGCAGATTACCAATGGTTTATGTTATTTTTATGTTATTTTTATTTTATTTTTATTTTAATTTTTGGTTGCCAGGTCAAGAGTTTCCGCTCCTGTCCTCTCTTTTTCTCTTTTCTCTTGCAGTTTTATTCGCTCGATATGTTCTCCCATTCTCTGTTGACTTGGGGCACCTTTAGTCCGTGGAGATCTGTGCGGAAAAGCAACAGGCGACGATTGATTGAGGCCACAGTGAGACCAGCGTGTGAGCTGGAGGGCTTGCTGAGCCTTGAGTGATGGAGGGTTGCATCACCCTTTGACCCACCAAGGCAGACTACCTCATTTCCTTTCCCCAGCCAATAGCAAAATTGCCGCACTTCCTTTTTGGTATCGGTGTACGCCTGCAGGTCGGACCAAAGGGGGGTAGTGGGGGGTTCGTGAGGATTGCATGCTCGGCATGTCAGGGTTGGAAGTGGCGATAACCATATGCAATTGGTGCAGGGCGCCGGTTATCGACCTTCAGATGGCTTTTCTGATGAGGATGGACACATCAGCAGTCTCAGGGAAGACTCAGGGATCAGGGGAATTCGCCTCGTTGCTTTCTCTTCTAATGGGAGATGGCGAGGCAGTTGAAACCTCTGTGCTGAGAGCAATTATAAAGGGTGCCCGAGCCTCCTATGAAATCGCTGGCACTTCGTGATCTGTTTCTCTCGCCCATGCATGCTCTTCCCCTCAGGCCCAATTCCCACTCTCCTTCCTACTCCCCTGATTCACCTCTAACTCAAGAATTTCCCCTCTCAGATCCCCAATCTCCTACTCAGATGGCCCTCACATTTCATGTGAGCAACTTCAACCCGTGGAAGCCGTGGGACACCGCGGCACCCCAAGTCATTCTCACCCGCGCAAATGCCTCAATTCCCGCACCCCAGAATCAAGAAAACCCCCTCCCCCTCTCCTTCCGTCTTCCCCCTTCCCAGCGCAGCGTTGTGATGTAGGCCTCAGATCCCTGCTACCTC